AAAAAAAAAAGCGCACCCACTTCCTCTTCACTCTCCCTGGCACTAGGTTCCTGGGTTGGTGGCAGGAGATGCGCCTCCCAGCACCCACGTGGCGTATGGCCACTGGGCCTCCACACACAGGCTCATAGACTTCCATTAGCTGGGATGCGAACTACTCCCGACTGTAACGTGGAAAGGAAGCCTGGACGCTGGCTGCTCCTGGAACCCCGGCGGCACCTGTTCCAGGACTGGCTTCTCCCGATAAACTTCGGTTCCACTAACCGTCTTTGTCTGTGACTTCATTCTTCGATTTCTCGAGACAATGAACTCGGACTCAAACACCGACATTTTGGTTTCAACAGGACCTGTGGTTACCGTTAAGACCCACAGACAATCCTCATCTCCTCACCTCGAGATCCTGGACCACATCTGCCAAGTCCCTTTACCAGGGAAAGCAACACTTCTGAAGGTTCCAGAGATGAGGGTGTGGACGTCGTTAGGGGTCGTTGTTTTGCCTCCTGCAAACCCTTAGCTGGCCCTGCTGCCATTCAGGGACGTGGCTCAGGGTGGGCACAACTGCTGATTTCATTTTCTTAAAAAAGTTAGATTTTTAGTTGGTCTCCCAATTTCCTTGATGCTGAGAAGTAATTAATGTATAATATGTAGTCCTGGGAAGTCCAAACAAAACCTGCCTGCTACGGAGAGCTGTTGGCTGGAGGGAGCTCCGAGCCCACCTGCGGGGAGGGCCGGGCAAGTGCTGCTGCCACCTCCAGGCCACAGTGGGAGGTGCCAACGCAGAAACCCACGCTGGGGAGAGTGGGCTGAGGCAACCTGAGGTGGCACTGATTTTAGAACGCTGGCTGAATAAAATGCAAATGACTGTTAACAGAAACTGGAGACAACAAGGAAACCAGAACATTCCATGGCACTCGATTAGATTACTCATTCAGATGCAAATTTTACCCCAATTTTGGAAGGATCACAGGCACCCCTGTCCAGAGCCCAGTCCACAGCTCAGCACTTTCCTGCCACTCTTTTCATGAGCCCCTCACACGGGTGGCGGGCTTCTGAAGCAGGGGTTGTACAGTTTCTGGTGCGTTTTTTGTCCTCCTCACCCCCCGGCCCTGCTCCCTAGGGACAGCGCTCAGCACTCACCCCCGTTCTCCGACTTTCACACACGGGGGCCACACTGAGCACCGGCCCCGGCACAGTCTCTCCGCCAGAACTGCGTTTCAAAGGAGACCCTGGTGGCAGCACTCCTGCTTCTTTAAACGAAGCCATCAGGGCCTTGAGCCAGGCCCACCAGCCCCACCCACCCGCCTCGCCTGAGGGTGCACCCCACAGCCACCACATTGATGGCAGGCCAGCCGATGCCCACTGCCTCCACCTGCTTCCTCCCAGAGTGCGGGGGACACGGGGCAACCCAGAGAGCGAGGCAATCCACACGAGAAAGGAAGGCGGCCAACACTCCAGCTGTCCACATCGCCGGGGCCGGAGTCAGCTGCCCAGGAAAAGCCCCGGAGCAGCCCAGGCCAGTGCAGCGCTGCCCGGAGCCCTGGCCTCAGCCCCGTTGCTCACCGGCTGCCCCGCTGCCCGACAGACGCACCTCTCAGACACTCCTCTGGTCCTTGGGAAGGGGCCGGTCCCTCGGTCCAGTCACCTGGGCTGGGGACAGAAGGCGCCTGCTTGCTTACTCACTCAGCCTACTCCACTGAGCCCTTAGAACCGGGGAGAGAAAAGCCGTCCCGTGAACAATAAGGAAACTCTTATTATCCCTGAATAATGCGCTGGGTGCGCAGAGTCCTGGTCAGTAACCTGGGCCGATTCCAGTCCCGGGGGGTGAAACGAGGTCCCGCACCTCAAGCACTCGGAACAGAAGCCACACTCCGACTTCTCCACCCTTGTGCCCACTCGTTTGTGATCCCCTTGGATTTTTCTAGTAAAAAATAACACATTATACGATTATACCATCTGCAAATAAAAGAAAACAAGAATCGCTAGGCCTCTGGCAACACCCCTGCCGCCGGGTCCGTGACCTCACCTCTCTGCTCGCCATGCTGGTCTGGCCGCGGGGACGACGGTGCTCAGAACAGACCAGCCCGGCCCGGCCATCCCATCCTCACGGGGACCTTTGCTGCCTCAGCGACTGTCCTACGCCCTGAGAACTCCAGCACAACCTGGTGGGGCCATGCCGTCAGGCCGTGGGCAGCTGGGCCCACTCCGCCGCGACAAGGCTCCGTTCAGCAGTGGGACAAGGCCCCGCAGTGAGCCTCCCTTGGGCCGTGGGACAGGCTGGCCCCATTCTCGTCCCTTTGAATGGCAGGCTGTGCAAGATGTGGGCCTGGCTGTTTTCCTGTGTTGGCTCATTCAGGCAGCAGGGCAGGGCCCAGCC